AACACATCCCTCAGGTTCTTCTGTCCTTGGTCATGAATGAATGAAACGTGCCTCTGGTCATTGTCCAGGTGGATGCGGGAGGAAGAGGGCACTGGTCACACGGCGTGCAGAGGGGGTGCAGGAAGAGGCATCTTGTATGCGACGTGGACGACATCACCGAGGAAGAGCTGGATAACGTGGCCCTGGCACCGAAGGACAAGATTCTCGACAAAGATCATGTGAGTTTCTGTCAGCCCTGATCCTGATCCCGGAGCTGAAAACTGATGTTTACCTAAACCGTCAATCGCTGACTGACCCATGTGCCAGTAGTCAGCTGACTTGTTGTCTGGCCTGAGCTGGCAGTGATTGGCTGCTCACAGTAGCCCCACCCATTGTGGAATAATCCAGAGGCTCATTTTGTCCAGGCAGCGGCAGATTAATATGCTGATTTAGTGAAAATATTTAACTTTTTAATTTGCTAATATGTATGTATGTAGCCTGGTTATTTTTGACAAACATCGTGTGACAGTCCTTCTTGAGGATCAGGTTGTAATGTCCCACAGATCTTAGACTGATGCACTGGTGATTTTGTTTGGGCTGATCGATGCTCTCCATTTGAGCTACCCTAAAAAGCGAAGTGGCTTCTTCTAGGTCATCCAGATTATCCTTTTAATTTTTGATGATGGGAGAAAGCAGCTCACGCCAAAGTTACAGGCATTGAGAAATGAGCTGGAATTAAGCTGTCAGCAAAATTTGGCCAAAATTTGAAAATCATTGTTATTTTAAGAATTTTACATAATATACATATAGAGAAAATTATGATCTCTACTTATGGTGTCACTTCCTTAGGTCTGGAAAGCTAATTGATATTTATTCTTATTAATGTTGCTACATTAGTAATAATGCCAATGGATAGAAATCTGATCAAATCTTAAGTTGGTGTTTTCATGAATTTCACGTGACATGCAGGAAAGGTTAAAGGTCAAAAGGCATTGTGTTTTAAAAGCTTCATAGAAACAGAAACACTTGCCTGAGTTTGGCCTATGAATTAGCATGTTCCCTGTTAATTCTCCTATGTGTAAATACCCCAGGGGACGACTTGTCACCAGTGCAGACAGAAGACGCTCGACACAAAGACCGTCTGCAGGAGCGCATCCTGTCAGGGTATGAGGGGCCAGTTCTGTGGGCCCTGTCTCCGCAATCGCTATGGGGAGGACGTCCGCGCCGCCCTGCTCGACCTTGTACGTCACCCTCGTGGTGTTTCTGGGCTCCCAATTCCATCAGGCTGCCATTATCTTCAACCCATTAGCTTCTGCCTTTTTGACTGTCTCCCCCTGGTGTACAGGCATGGAAGTGTCCCCTCTGCCGCGGTATCTGTAACTGCAGCTTGTGCCGCAAACGGGAAGGCCGGTGTGCCACCGGGTCACTGGTGCGAATGGCCAAGTTCTACGGCCACAGCAACGTCCGGGAATACCTGGAAAGGTGAGTCGCTGCCCCCCTCCATTGACTGTCAGGCTGGGATTTGCACTAACAACCTTCTGGTCCTGAATTGATGTCCTTAATCACTATGCCACCTGCTGGTTGTAGAGTGTATCAAAATCTGACCCGTATTGTTTTTATCTAGTCTACAGAAGCAGCTGTCGTAGGACGGGCGTTTGGCGGACAGATGTCAGATGGAAGTCTGGGGGTGTCTGTAGTCAGTGCCGATTCCCTTCAAATGTTGTGTTTTGATTGTGGATTGTGCCAGGATGGAAATGGGTAATGCGTGTTGATTGTCATGCAGAAAGATGCTTGTTGTATCAGTCATTAGTCTTACATTTTTATATTGTACGATGTGGGGAGAAAAAGTGTCCCCCCCCCCCTTTATGCACAGAGCCTCATTTGGCAGGATAAGAGGGGTAACTGTTAGTAATTAAATGTTGTTTGTGTTGATCAGCCTCGTGCTTGTGTGTCACTGTGTGTCTCTGTTCGCTTGCATTAATGATGTAGAAACTGATAATTTTCTTGGCTATTCTGGAGGAAAGGTGAGTGGTGCTGCCAGTCTAGCAAGCTTTGATGAGGCCAGAACTTCCATTATGTTTGCTTAAGATGAAAAAAGTAGACCATCGGGGCAACGTGAATTGCGTGACCTGAGGCGGCCCTTCCTTGTGGGACTGCAAGATGGTGGATGAGAAGTTCCTCTGTTGAACACTAGAGGGCAGCAGTATTCTCTCATTATGTTGCGGTTGCCACAGTTATTCTGTACTTTGTTTGGGGTGGAAATAAATGACACGTACTGTTTAGTTTGTTGCTGTGAGTTCCTGCCTGTCCAGATGACCTGGAGTCGACTGTCTCTTTATTTTTGTGTGTTGAACTCGTGCTTTAGCTGTACCGTTTGGCCATTTTTGGAAAGGTAAGCGCAATAAACTAAGTAGAAAGTCCCTGAAACTAGGACACCCACAGACGCGTACACAGGCCGTGGAAGGAGGAGCCTCCAGGGGTCACCGGTCCCAGAGTTGCCAGGTCCGCGGTTTTTGTTTGAAAATAGTTATTATTAAATATTAGGAGGTCGTGAGGCCTTTTGTACTGCTTTCATAATGTTCTATGTAAGGAGAAAAAGTCAATTATTATGAACGTTAAGTGGCTCCTAAGGTTGAGCAATGCTGAATCGCTAGCCACCGAAAGTCAGACAGACGCACAAGGAAAGCAGGGCTGCAAGACCTCACGCATCTGGCTTGACACGCTTTCAGATTCACACAAGAAATCTTACGACAAATATATGTCTATTATTCCATTATAAACCTAAAATCAGCTATATCAGAAGCGTTTGGTAGTTTGTACACTCAATAGACTGTTTACAAGGTAATACGACTGATACTTGTAAATGTGTGTGCAGACATCTCGAATTGAAAATCTCAACCCAAGCCAAGTGACCAAAGCAAACCTGGGAGAGTTTCCATGTGACGTCATTGTGTACTGTGGTTTTAAAATGCTGAATATTTGAATTCGATCAGCATGCAATATACCGGTTTATTTCTATGAGATACAGTATACTGGGATTTCAAATATTGGGCTGGTTTCAGCTTCCGTTGGGTGGATTTTTAACTTTTTAAGCAGACCTTGGGCTGGAGATTTTTGCTGGACCTGGTAACACCGGCCGGGCCGCTGGGCCCGCATCTGCCACAGATCGCTCCCATCGCCGCTGTTCTTTCAGTGATCAGCTTAGGCCGTGGTGTGAGCTGTCCCACTTTCCACACACAATTACCCTGCTCCGTTTAATTTCCCGCACTACTCCGTTATCATGAGGAAGAGCACTTGTTCTCCTTTCTCCATAACTAGTTAAACTGGTGATAAAGGGTGGACGTCTCTACGCCCACGTGCTGATTTTTTTTTCTGCTCTTAAACACAAATTCTACGTGTGAGAAAATGCAGTATAATCCTTAGAATAATTAAATGTTTGACATTTAGGTTAAACAGCACACTATTTTTTAATGCTGATTGCAGTAGGATTAGTTTCTTACATAGGGGAATTAAGGTCAGTCCATGAGCTGGAGTTACATATAGTTTGATTATTTTCCATGTAAAAACGCCCTGTCGATGCTAAACATACTCACCAGTGCGTCACTCCGTTATGGTGGTTTCCGAGCAATGAAGGTCATTGTTTCAGGTAACGATTGAGAAAGACATTCTGGGAAGGGCAGTCACCGGATGGTGGTGGGGCTACAATACGTGCAGGCTGGAATGGGCAATGTGATCCTGCCTGTGCCTTCATGTGTCCAGAAGTTGTAACAGGAGGATTAGCGTGACCCACCGATAGGGGTGGGTCACACGCGGCCAGAGAACCCCCCCCCTCCCAATGCATGTGAGTGTGACAAGTGTCAGAAGGAACGCTGATGGTATCAGCGGGACTTCATCCTTGCCTCAGAGCTGCCATGAAGTATCAGCGGTTATAGTCAGAGGTGTGTGAGTCACCGGCTCTGATCTGTGAGGTACATCGCGCTGCCAGCGGTCTCTGTCACCACTGTCTGACTCCCAGAATGCTGACAAACAGCGGAGACTAGAACCGGCTAGTTTGTGGGGTTTTTTTTTGTTTTTTTGGTTGAGGGGAATCCCAGCTGGCTGGCCGACACCAGCCTCGCCCTACTCCGCCTGCCAAAGGCGAAGATCCCACCCCTCCAGCTGAACGATGGATGTATGACTTTCAAAATATAAGCCAAATAATAATTCATGTTCAGATTGTTGAATTATCCTGACATGTTTAATGTGATTAGCCTATATTTTATGCAGATGACATAAAAATGTCAGTAGGATCGTTCTAAGCCGAGATGGACAAAATGTCGGTTGAAAACGTATTTTTCCTTTATGATAATTGGACCACAACTGAAAAAGTCAAGAGCGCTGGCTACGTAACAGTGAACGGAATACTGATATAAATAATTAAGATTTCCGGAACCCTTGCCTGTCTAATTGTTTCCTAATTGACCTTGCAGTCTTTCGCGGAAGCACTATATCCACGGTGGAAGTTTTTTTATGACCCGAACACGGCTTGGCTTAATATCTTCACAAGCTGGAATTAATGTAGTATTGATGGAACCATTACGCCTTCGCTGATGGATCGCTAGGCGCGCTCCCGACACGCGCGGGGGCGCTAATTAGTATTCATTACTCTGCGCTCCGCGGCGTCCCGAGTATTAATGAAGTTGGGCTGCGGAGCCCGAGCTGAATCCATCACGTCTTCCTCAGCAGGTGGTATTCATCATGCGGGAACGCAAGTGTGCGGGGTCAGCGCCGAGCAATTAAGTTATAACCGTGCTCCATGACTTTCCCGAGGGTCCGGCGGCGTGTGCGCGCACGGACCTTTAGAGGGGAAGGTGGCAGGGCAGACGTGGATTGGGACTCTGGAGAAGAAGCTCTAATGGCGACACCGCCTTTCCTTAATATGTAAAACCTATATTCTGCCTGTTCATTACGCCCTTGACGGCTGGGGTGTGTAAGCTTCCACTCGCCTTGTCTAACTATATTCTTATAATGAAAGTTAACAAATGTAATAAGTCACCGTATTCCCATCAGCATTTGTATTACGGTGTGTACACTGAATTTTTTTCATTAAGGCGGTTACCCAAAATCCAAGTGGTGAGCATCACTTGCTATGACAACACCTGAGCATCCAATCCTCTGCCAGCTCGTGACATGAACTACATGGTGCCCCCCACCTCAGCTGAGGTCGATAATATCAATGTGGAAGGAATTTCATTCACTTAAAAGTAATCTGTAATCGGTTTGTGACCTGAACTGACTTTTTGTGTTAAGGTTCAGAATTCTTCCTGTTACAGAGCTTAGCTTAAAGCTGGTCTGGATGAAATTCTACATACATACTTTGGATTTTTTCCACTGGAATAATTCCTATTAAATCGGTCAGGAGTTCAGCTGATTAGCCACTGGGGGGCCTCACACTCGCTGGCAACCTAGCGAGCAGTTCTCTGATTTAGCTGTTAGTTATAGGTCTGGAGGCAATGAAGTAGTGCATATCAAATATTGCAACAATGAAGGGCAGACTCTTGGCACTCTGTCAGCCAAAGTAGCCACTGATGTAGCCACCTGGAATGCTTCTCCAACAGTCCTGAAGGAGGTCCTACAAGTTCTGGCCACAAGTTGGCTACTGTGCTCTTACACTTTGATCCTTATCCCAAATGAGCTTTATGGGGGTTAGGTTGGGGGGGGATTGTGAGGGCCAGGTCATCTGTCGCAGCTCGCCATCTGTACTGTAGGTCGTAATCTTCTGGCTGATTTGTCAGCTTGTGTCACTGGACAAGGTGACCAGGCAGACTGTGGGTCGTTGTTCCATATCAAGATGGATGTAGCTGACTGTGACCTCAGAAGAATAACATGATTTATTGGCAAATTTAGCTATTTACTGTATAATAACCATATGGGGTGGTTCAGTAGGCAGTCATGTCATCTTACAGATCCAGGTTAAGGGGTCAAATCCCACCGCACTCTGTGTAGGGAGCTGGCATGTTCTCCTGTTGCTCGACTTTCCAGACTGGCCTATGTAAGTTTCCCACAGTGTATGAGAATGTGCCCTGAAATGCAGTGATGGCCCATCCATGTGCCCCCCCCCCCCCCCCCCCCCCTGTGCTGTCTGGGATAGGCTCCAGACCTCCCCCCCGTGTCCCTGTGCTGTCTGGGATAGGCTCCAGACCACCCCCTTCATGACCCTCTTCTCAGGGGTGCCATAAAGGGGGGGGGGGGGTAGTTAAGATGATTCCAAGGGAATATTGGGAACATAATTGGATTGGTCTGGGTTGGCGGCTCATTATGACGGCTGTCATGGGGCCCAAAATCTCTAGTGTCCTGCTTGTACCTTATAAGCATTGGAAGGTAGATGGACAATAAGGATATTCCTCAGTAGATAATTGTCTTTTGCTCAGAATAAGTCCTTTTTTAGCTTTTCGCTTGATGTCATCGTGCAGATCTTTGGTGATTCATTCGGCTCTTGGTTCCGCTCCTGTTACGCTACAGACGCACTGCGATGTCTTCCCCGGGTTCCCGCGGTGGGATCTTCACGGCGGCCGGCCCTCGTGCTCCTCCCGCGCAGCGTTGCTCTCCTGTCGCCTGGCAACCGCTCACCATTCCAGGCATTCTCCCCCTCAGCATGGAAACGGAGCCCAATGTCACAGCGATGAACGGGGACCCCTTAAAAGAACGCAAGGTTGTTTATGCTCCGAGATGGTCAGGGGGCCGCACTGAAAGGGCAGGGCCTTTTCTAAGCCTGCTTGATCGGGGGTGCCTCTCCATGCGCACACACAGCATTCACTAACTAAACCAGGAAGATTCAACCCCCCCCCCTCCTGGACACTTTCAACAGTACGCTGACATTTAACTGCTTTAACTGAGGCTTTTTACTGAAGTGACCTTCAACTTGCATTCATTCATACAGCCGGATATCATATATCAGCAATTCATGTTTGACGATTTTCTCCAAAGTGCTTGAACCCGAGTCTTCTGGGCCTCTCCTGAGACTCAGCCTTCTCTTTAACTACACCTTCTGTACCTCACGGTTGCTTTTTCATTGGTTCCGTTCCCCGACTCTCCATCAGGGAACACCTACGGAGTTCCTACACTGTTCTTTGACTAGTTCTTCAGTCCACCTACTGCAAACATTTATCTAGGGTCTGGGCCGAATCGTCACTTCCTCATCACTATCAGTCAGAGAATCCCTTCCAGATGCTTGGTAATGTTTATAAGTTCAGTCCAGTGATTGAAGACGTCTTGGCCAGGGAGACGTAAACGTTTGACTATG